AACCACGTCCTGATGGCTCTGGGCTTCCTCCTCCGAAAGATGCTGCAGATCCAGTAGCCACACCGGTCCTCAGTGAGGAATGGTGGGCAAGGAGATACCGGGTCACCAGGGAGAAGCTCAGTGGTGAACTGCCCTGCTGCCAAGCAAGAGCTGAGGGGGGTTGTTAATCTGCAGCATGTGGGTTATAGGTGTGAAAACGTGGTTAATGCTGGATACGGGGTTGAAAGCAGAGCATGGTGGGCTGTTTGCCGTGTTTATTTGTCAGATGTATCCTCTGGCTTTCCAGGAGCAAGGCACAGCTCGGAAATTCTGGGATGGAGATGCTGCTGTTCCCCTGGGGAGCTTGTAGAAATGTTTTTAAATATCAGAGGTTGTTCCCAGACATGTGAAACAGGACAAAACTGTGAAAAGCTTTGCTCTCAGGTCAGCTGCTCTGCATCAGGAATGTTCCAGAGCGGCATTTGCTGGTACGCTCGTGCTCCACTGCCAGGAGATGCGGAGTTGTCTGTGATTCGCTGCCTGCAGCCACAGCTGCCCATCTGGGGCAAGAAACACCGATGTTAACAGCTCTGTCTCAACAGTCCCCAAAAGTCCAGACCCCATATTAGCTGCATGAAAAAAAACAGTGCTGTAAAATCTCCTGGGTCTGTGCGCAGCACGTGGTGAGCCTCAGTCAAAGCATCTGAATCCAGGTGAGACGATAAATTTAGCCTCAGGCTTGGAGAAGGTCTTTACCTTTAGCCAGCAAAGTTTCCTACTACGTCAGGGTGGTTTTAGCACATCGGTTTTCCCTCTGGCTGACTTATCACAGCTGGCTCTGAGCTACTGTGTTTTATTAGACAGGGTAGTTGGTGCTACAGACAACTCTAGATCATTCTCGAAGCTCAGACGTTAGCACAGAAGCCAGCAGGCTTGTACAGCACCGTCTCTCTGGCTGTTACATTTGCCTCGTCTTTCTTTCAGGACTCCCCTAATGATGGCTTGCACCAGGCAAAACCTGGAGGTGATCAAAGCTCTCGTGGAGCATGGAGCCAACCCGCTGCTGAAGAACAAGGATGGCTGGAATTGCTTCCACATCGCCAGCCGGGAGGGCCATTCCCAGGTCCTCCAGTACCTGCTGGATGTGTCCCCGGGCAGCTGGGACACGGAGAGCACGATAAAGAGAACGCCTCTGCACACAGCAGGTAAAACAGGGTCCCAGTGCCACCAGACACGTTGGAAGAGTGAGAGTGGGCTGTAGCAGCAGTGGAGAATAGAAGGGGGCTTTTTTTTCCATTCATGTTTAGTTTGGAGAAGCAAAATGTGTCCTATCTTAATACAAAACCACAGGGAAATGGTTAAATATTTAAGTTTTTGAAATTAAATGAAAAGAAGTTAATGGTGGGCACTGTTGGGAGCTCACCTCTCTGAACTTCCGTCTCTTAACAGTGCGTCTTTGCAGGGTTTTACCTCAGAGACTTATTTTAGTTGCTTTCAGATCAGCAAGAATTAGGCTTAGTATTTCTTAATCACAGAATCACAGAATGGTCGGGGTTGGAAGGGACCTCTGGGGATCACCCAGTCCAACCCTCCTGCCGAAGCAGGGTCACCCACA